ACATCCTGGGAAAGAAAGCCCTCGGCCGTGCTGCTTGACGGGCGTGCTTTTCCTTTCCTTGGGGGCCACCTGTGGGCAGCTGACTAAGGGCAGCAGCGGGTGCTGGTGTCCTCAGGCCCTTTTGGGCCACCTCTGCCGCTTTGCAGAATTTCTGGGGAGGATTTCAGCGTCCGTCTCGTCCCGCGCAGGAACAACAGGCAGACTCTGCAGGCTTGCCAGTCCGAGATGGCCAAGTTGGCAGACCAGGTCTACCGAGACGCAGAAGAGAAGGCCCTGCTGAAGGAGGCCCTGGAGAGGACACGGTTGCAGCTGAACCAGGAGAAGAGGCTGAACAAGGCCCTGAAGAAGCCGAAGGTAGGAGCCGCCCGGAGCCGGCAGAGGCGGCAATAAATGAACCGTCCCACTCAGAATGGTTGCTTTCGATTGGGGCGTCTCCCCCTCGCCCCTGAGGAAGAAGGGGCTGAGCAGCAGGGTTTGCGTGGTCCTCGTTAGCACCAAACAGCCGTCCCAGGATGAGGAACTCTGCCTGAGATGAGAGGGCTTTACCAGGACCGTGGGGAGGCAAGGCCAAGGTGGATGGGGGTATACGATGCCAAGCAGGGGGTCCACCCCGCACACACCAGCCTGCCCAGGATCCCTCCCTCCGATTCCTAGCTCCAACGGTCCTGTTTCCGGGCTGACTCTCTACTTCCAGTGTGTTTTTGGCTGCACGGTGACAGGACACGGTGCCCCTATTTCTTAATCAGAGGCTCCAGGGACCACCCCAAACTGGGGACAGAAGAAGAGCTTGCAGGCTGCCCCCTCCCCAGTCCAAAGAGTTGACACTGTTGGTGCCCAAAGCAGGAAAAGTTTTGGTTTCCGAAACACCTTCCAACAATATGCAGTTAGACTCCCTTGGGCGTGAAGCTTCCAGGGGTTTGGCCTCGGGCTTCTCCCGGCTCAGAAGCCGTCTTCTGCCTCCGGAGCTTGGTCTGTGTGGCCTCTAGGGCGCATCTCCGCCGGGCCCTCCTCGGCCGGGTACCCACAGCACCCTGGGCCTGGGTCAGGGAACGTGTGCGCACAAGCCGACAGCCACGGCTTAGCAAGGCGACTTGGCTCCCATTGCCTGCGAAGCTCCATCCCCTTTTAGCCCAGCCCACTAGGTAAAGCAGCCACTGGATTCCAAGCAACACTCCACAGATGACGCTGGTTTTTGCAGAAAAAGTAGTTTTTTATATATATTTATTGTGGCCATTTTCTTTTTTACCTTTGGGGTGAGCAGAGAGTCTCCTCGTTCCTCCTCCCCTCTTCTCCCCCTGTTCCTTGTAGATCAGGAGCTGATTCGGGCACTTCACTTAGGTTTGAGCAACTTCCTTTCCTTTCTTGTTGGCCTCCCACTGTCCTGTGGTGGCAGAGGGAGCTGCACGTCCCGTCCTGCCACCCTTCTCTGGCTGACCCCCAGCCTGGGCACACCACCACTCCCTCAAACCCTGCTGGAGTGGCCCGGTGTGCAAACAGACCAGCCACCCCTGCCAAACACATGGCCCGCGCTCGCGCCCTCAGTCAGTGGAGGCCTTCCCCCGGCACCAGGCGTGGCGCAGCTCGGGCCTTCCGCAAGCATGGCCAAGCCCTGGGGGAGGGCAGAGCTGCCCTGGCACTTTGGGAGTTTTTCTGGCATCCGGTCCTTGACTTTTGGGGGGTCTCTGGGGCCACAAACCCCCATAGCCCTCCAGTGGGGGACCCACATGCTCCAGGAGAGACACCCCCGCAGCCCCGCTCTTTCCACCTGGAATCAGTGAGAGGAGAAGAGGCGGGAGACGGCACCACGTTACCCCGGCTGTTCTCCGAACCTCAAAGCTAAGAAAGCAGGAACGTGGCCAGAGCAAGCAGCTCTTCTGAAAGCAGTGGGAGGTGGAAGGAAGTCAGGAAGGCCATCCTTGGTTTGGACGTTGGGTCTTCTTTTTCTTTGACGGGCTTTTCTTTGGCTCGGGCCTGGGCAGAGGGGCAGAAAGCTGAGGGTCAGGGGCCCCTGAGCTCTTGAAGCAAGAGGCGCGGAAGGAGTCTCTCAGATACCCAGGACATGGCAGCCAGAGAGAAGGAGACCCTCCCCAACAGCGAAAGCCCATTTGCATGGAGGGTTCTCCCCACAGCAGCCTCTAGAGGTGGGGGGCTGAAGGAGAGACCGGCCCGAAGTCCCCTACATGGTTTCAGAGACAGATGTCCCCAGCCCTGGGAAGCAGACACCACTAGGGCGAGGAAGGGGGAAGAGAGGCCCCGCTTCTCCTCCAACTCTGCGTCAGGATGGGGGAGTAAACTTTTGTACACCGCCTGTCGCAAACGCCACGCTGCCACTGTCGAAAATGCACGCGTGCTTAAGGTTTCCCGCGTTTCCTTACGCGCCTCCCCTCCCCGCCTTTTGTAGACGCTAACCCTGAAGAAGCCGCCCTCCGAAAATCCGAAGGCAGCCGAGGGGCCGAGGGACACCTGCAAACCCCAAGTGCATTGCAGTGGCTGGGCCTAGGCTGTCCCCCTTCTGGAGAGCTGTGGGGCAGGAACGCTCCCGCTGCTGTAAATAGGAGAAATGGTGCAAAAATGATGTGTTTCATACATACGTAGACACCTCGTTGTACAGCCAGCCGGTGGCCGCCTCTGGATACGTCGTGCCTTGATCGTTAGAAAAGCACCAAGGACGCGGTGCAAATTATGTATAAATGTATATGCTCTGTAATCCAGCCACCGGTGTCCGCTGATGTCTTTGGGGAACGAGGGGTGGGCTTCAGCTGGGTCGAGGCTCATCACCAGTGGCTGCCCTTCGTTTGGGGGCGCAGGGGGCAGGACAGTGGTTCATAATGAGCAAGTAGGGTATTCGGGGTGTTTTATGGGTACCTTGGGGGTGGGGGTAACGTCATATTTGAGTTGGGTGCAGGCGCTGGCCATTTCTCAGGCACATCCACATGGTTTTCTGGATCGTGGTACAGAAGTTGTTTGCCCCAGTCTCCTAGGATGTTTTTTGGACTTCCAGGTCTAGCCACATCCACCCTCTAGGTTTGGCCATGTCTGGCTTTTCACGATGAGCCAAGGTTTGCTAGACCCTCGCTGGACTCGGGGGGGGGGTCTGTTTTTAAAATCGGAAGCTGGAATTGGATCAGCAGGAACTGCAGGATGGCTGAGCTCCGTTCAGACCTCGATTCCCAAGCAAGCCATGTTCCAGCCAGCACGGTGGGCAAGCCCAGGGACATGAGGCTGATTGCAGAAAAGGATCCAGCCCAAGGAGAGGGCATTGCAGGTGGGTGGGCAGCCTGGCAGGCCCGGAAAAGGGAGGCAGAGCCTGCTGCAGCCCGTCTGAGCATCCCCGAGAAGGCCTGTCTGTCACTTCAACTCCCGCCTCTTTTCACAAGCTGTCGGCCCTCTGCGTCCGTGTTTCCCTCTGAAAATACAGGAGATTGGAAAGGAGGCTTCGGTCTGCTGCCCGAAACCCACAGCGCGACGCCCAGGCCTTGGCATCTCCCTGGCTGCTGTCGCCGCTGCCATTTGTAGCCCCAGGTAAACCCGATCCTTGCCAAAGCTTGGCCAGCCGGCACGTTCTCTAGCGTCTCCATCCTCCTCGTGGCCAGCCAGCCAGCTGTCCAGCTGTCAGGAGGCAGAGAAGTGGGCAAGAAACACCCACAGGAGCATCTGCAAAACCCCGGGGGTGACCGGATCTTCCTGGAGGCTTTGCCCTGCACAACACCCTTCCTGGAAAGCGGGCTTCGGACTGGCAGCGCTGCTCTGGGTCTTCCACAAAAGAACGCTGGGCAAGTAAAACCGCATCCTTTTCGGGTGGCAAAATTCACCCGGGTCTGCCCATCATGTTACAGGTCTTGCTCCCAAAAAGGGAGGCTTCCCGAGGTCCATGAGAAACACCGTGGTGTGGGCCTTTGGGGCCAGATCTTTTCAGGCCCTCGGGCCCTCGCAGCTTCCACAAATGCACAGCTGCTTCATCGGCCCTTATGAGGGTTTGGTACAGGTAAAAGTAGGCCTGCTGATGCAACTCGGTGGGAATTAGGCTTGGAGAACAGGGAGGTAACATACAGAAAGGGAGAACAGGAGCGTCTTCGGTTAAAGGCCTTATGGAAAAAGATCCCAGATTTCAGAGCTCCGTTTTGGGGCCGTAGGACACAATACGAGCACCCACAAAGTACCTTTATTTAAATAAAAAACAGAAGCGGGCCCTGTGGTGAAATTTGCCATGGATTTGATCCTTTTTCCCTCGTCTTCCCTGCTTCCCTCATTTCTCCTTCCTCTCCTCTTTCCCCGTTTCTAGAGCATTCGCCTTAAGGAACTCAGTCAAGCGTTGTTTCCGTAGCTCATTTTCTTCAGCCAGCTAGATTCTCCGCCCTTTAAGGACATTTTCTTGCAGCTGAAGAAAGATCTTAAGGTTAGAGGCTAAAACAGCTGCTCTTGGCCTGAGCACAGTTGCTGGTGCTTTCAGTCCAGGTAAGAGAACTGTTATCTTTTAAATGTATTTTGTTTTTCAATTTCAGCCTTACTAATCAAATAAGCTTCGGAAATGTTTAGGATAAATACTGAGAATGTTAATAAGCGTTAAAATAGGAGACAGCCCAGGAAGCGAAGTCAGTGTGGATTTATTTTAAGTGAGGGTTGGATTTTCCTATTAAACCTTTTTCTTACCAAGGGGTCATTTTTTACTGCTGCCAACATGTTTTACATTCGCTCCAGATTATCAGGCTGAGTTTCAGCTTTTTGAGAAACTATCAGTTAGCATCTTTTCCCCTGTACTTCTGGTGGCTGTATCATAACAACGATCTCATTGCCTGCTTGAACAGGTTCATGTGTATTGTATAGAACTGTTTCCATAAATTTGCTGTGTGGTGCCCTTGATAAAGGATTTTATCCAAAACAAGTCAGGCTTTCCTGTAATAAAGCATTTTTCACTGGTGTTTGGGATATTTCCCCCACACGCACACTTTTTTCCCCTTGGTTTCAAGGCCTGCTTTGCCTCCGTGTTTTCAAGAAGGAAGTGTTTCTGGCCTCAGAGCATCTGAACAGAGGTCCCAATTTGTCTCAGGGTTTTAAAGAAACCCTTTCAGCCCTTCCCAAGCGGGCTGGACGAAGCCCCTGTCGTTCCCAGTCTGTTTGGAGAAAGTCTGCTGTCAGGATTGGGGTTATATTGCTGAACTTTTATTTATTCTGCGAGCAATTGCATTTGTTTAGCTTGGGGGTTGAATTAACTCTTCTTCTAGATTCACATAATCACTGGAACTAAGAACTAGCCAAACAAGCTGGGTTTGTGGACACAGAGGAAGCTGCAAAAAGTCTAAGGAAAGTTAGCTGTCATCTGGCACGTTTATTCCAAAATGCGGGGGCCACGCTGAAAAAGGCCTGCCCTCCAGGAGTCCTGGCAAAGGTGTGCAATACATTTCTCTGACTCAGCCAGCTAATCGATGTGGCTTCAAGTATTTCCAAGTTGTTTTTTTCTCTCCTTTAACCCCTCAAAAAGCACGTGAGACTGCACAAGGACAAAAACCGATCACCCAAAGAAAACCAGTGATTTGATATTGGCTCTGCCCATTTCATGCCCAAGGGTTAGGGTTAGGGTTAGGCTTTTTTTCCCCAGAAGACCAATTAAATCACCAGCAGAGTGTCTCTGAAAAAAGGTGTTCAGCAAGCGAGTTGTTGACAGCTTAGAAACGTTCGAGATCTCTTCTGATAGAGCACTTTGAAGAAGCCACCAGCTGCTGCCTTGTTCTGCCAGGTGCCGACACCAGATCACCTGGTGCTCGGAAATGTTGAGGCGCTGGTCTCCCTCCTCAGGATCTTTTCCTGGGCTTTGCGTGGCCTCCCTGCATGCTGCTTCTGCAGCGACCGGGGGGGGGGGGTCATCCAAGGACACCGCGCATCCTCTAAGGCTCCAAGCGCTTTGCAGCAGCCCCACCATCTGTGTTCACCAGGATTGTTTGGGTGCTGTTCTTCCTGCCAGCAGCCTGTTCTTGTCCTCCCGGTGTAATTGCACCCTCCCGAAATAGCTGAGCGCTTCCTTCTCTCGCTCTGGCTTGGCAGGAAGCTGACCTCCCCAAAGCCTGTCTTTGGGCAGCCAGTCCCAAGGCACCCACAAGCTTTGCCTCCTTCGCTGGAGTCCCGGGAGGTGTTTTTGCTCGGCTGGTTCCATTTAAAACGTTCCCGGTGAGCGTGCTCTTCTGGCCTAGAGTCCCTCCGCGTCCCTCACAGGCTGAAAGGCCATGCGGGTCTTTCTCCCTGACCCAGCATCTCCTTTGCCTCTTCTCAAAAAGGGTGGAGGCCGCTTGGGGACTCCGGAGTAGGCCAGAGAGAAGAGGACTGGGGGCTGCCGATGACTAGTTCTCTAAAGTGCCACGTGGAGCCATTTCTTGGGAGCTGTCAAAACAGCTAGGAGCCCAAACCAGCGTTCTGCAAAACGTGGAATCTGAAATCCCCAGCCCTAAATTATGCATGTTCTGCGAAAGCTTCAGAGACAGCCTTTGAAAGCTCACGTCGTTTCCATCTGGCTTCGGATCTGTGTGGGTGCAGAACTAAGCTTGATGTGATTGCTGGCTTTTATGTCTGTGTGGGAAGGCCTGTTATTCAAGTCCAAATGGAATAATTGCATTATTTTCTCCCTGAGAACCCCCTTGGCGTCCTTTGCGCAGCTCGCAAAGATGTGGCTGGGCCCGGGATGGTGTCTCAGCCTGGATTGTGGGTTAAGTTGTGGTTAACGAGGAGCGTTTTTAATAAACGTCATAACTTTCTCAGCCAGACCACAGCCAAGCCCTTTCACCTTTCTGCTGCCCTCCAGTGGGGCCTTCCAGCCGCCCGCTCGCCCATCACTCCCCGACCGGCTATCTGGAGAAAGCCCAGGTCAAACGAGGGTCCTCTCCGTTCCTGAAGGCAGCAGAGGGGCTGGTGCCGGGGGCCCTGGATGGAGGAGGGCATCAAGATGGACTCCCCCAGATGTCTGGGGGCTACCCAGACGCAAGGACCGCACACACACACCTGTTCCTGTGAATGGTGCCCAAACTCTCCTCCCCCTCGCAAGAAACATTCTCAGCGCAACAAGGCCTGGGAGAAAAGCCACGCGCAATAATGCTGCGCTAACAGAAGGACGAGGAATCAGTCGGGATGAGTAAGGCCTGCTCTCTGTAGCAGAAAGGGCCCGGCCTTTTACTCTCCGTAGAAACGGAAAGCAGATTATCAACCACCTTCAAGCCACGTGCGGCCTTCGTATATCGACCTGGAGGATTTCAGATATATTGATCTATGGAGAGACAATGCAGCATCGCTAGGAAGCTAACGTCCAAGATGGACCCAACAGGAAAGGCAAGGATTTACAGTGATTTTTCTTCCTGTTAAGGGTTACAGAGTTCCAGGCCGTCTGCTGACTGTCACGTTTCAAGCCCTGTAAAGCGCAGGGGCTCAACTAACTTCTTCAGTGGCGAAAATATGAGGAGTTGGAGGAATGCTTTGTGCACAAGGGCAGCGGCTCTTTGGGGGTGGGCTCCCCAGCTTTGGAGAGGGACAAATTAGTGCCAGACTTGCTTTTCAAGAGTGATAAAACCCAAAGTTTCCCCTCCCTCGACGAGTAGCTTTATGTGCTAGCTGAATGTGTTTCCGCCTGCTCCCTTCTCATGTGTGGCTCTTCCCTTGTTGTTGTGTACCTGCTAAGCAAGGGCGGGTCCGCAGCCTGCGTGAATATTTTTTGGTCATCCTTGACTCTTTCTTGGAAAGAAAGGTGGCGATGGCGCCTGGTCTCACCGCCTGGAGGGTGCCTGCGGCTGAATCTCCCAGCGGATTCGCCCTGTCCTCGCCCAGAAGGCCGGCAGAAGCTGTCGTCGCCGGCAGATCTCCGCCGGCCTAGCCCTCCCTCCCGCGTGCCTCTCACAGCCCTGGATCATGGCTGCGTCCCCCTTGGTGAAACAAAGTCCCCAAAGCGCTGGAGCAGATTAGCCAGACTTGCGAAATCTGTTCTGATGTCCCCTAAGAGCTTGTTTTTCTGTCCCGTTTGCTTGGGACCTGCTTTGGGCGTGCTTCTCGCTCCGTTCAGTGCTTCCTTGCAAGTTAGCAGAGGCTGTGGGGTGCCATTTTCAGCCTCTGCCACCACCACCCCCCCCACGCATACAGCCTCCCTTCCAGCCCCCCAGACCCCCTTCTGGCTGGGCTCCCTCAGCCTCAGGACCCAGGCCAAGGGCCTGACCCGGGCATCTGCACGACCCCCGCGGCTGCCTTGGGGGCATTTCGCAGATGCACCCTTCCAGGTTCTGCTGGGGGATGCTGCCTTGCGGCTCCCGCCTTTGGGGGTTCAGGGGAGGAAGGAGG